ATAGTGAAAGTTGCATCGACAGATGGAATTTTGCTATTTTGAACATAATGGTTGAACGCTGTTATCTTGTTTCGTTGCTTTGACGTTTTTAACAATTGGAATTATTTTTTGCAAATTTTCGCACCTATGATTGTTCATTTCAGGTCGTTTCAAATCGTTTCATCGAGAGCAACGATAAATTCTTGATAACGACTGCATACTGAGAAGGGCCAACGGAGCATGAGATGTATCAAATATTACACAAAAAGCTTAGATACAAAATAAATCAAGCGCCGAGAAGAAGTTATTTCATATTGAGCACAAAATAAGTATTACATAAGTTTACCTAATAAGAATCGATCGTCACAGTATACTGCAAGTTGTAATGGCAAAGATTATCTAAAATAATCTAAAAGTTGAAGCGCAAATTCCGGCATAATGATTGAAAATTTCATAAATTATTACATGCAGCTAAGCACACAATAGTTTTGTAGCAATATTTGCAAATCTAAAGGACGCAGGAGGATAATTCTGGGTTCAATATTCAAGTGAAAGATCACATAAAATACCATATAAGCGACTACATTACCTCAAAATAACCAACACGATATTCATGCATCAAACGAATGAAGAAATCAAAAGATATCATGCAAGGCATAGTTTGACTTTTTGTGATAAGCAAAACGAAATTCCAATGGCTTGAAAACGTATTTCGGCATTTAAAAAACAATATTTGATGTTACGGATGGATGAGCCATGACTTATACAATGAGCAACTAATAATTTTTAAACATTCTTCCAACATCTAAAATAAGGCAAAGCAATAACTTACGCGAAACTTGACAATTTACTGGTGGTGGAAGTGGTGTTGGACTTTTTCGTGGTCTTATTACTCTCGATGATAACACGAAGATCAAATGAAATACCAACAATAAATAAATAAGAAGAAAGAAACGTCTCAATAACATTACTAAGGATTCAAAGGTTTTACCAAAGCAAAATATTCTTCATATAAGTGAAAAAGAACTCCGGTTTTAAGTTGTCAAAGATGTCCTCAATCATTAACTAATGTACTTTCATATTTCGTACCACAACGTCCACACGGTGATTTCATGCTGCTTTCAAAAACGCTAAACTGCATGTGTTATTGAAATGAGACATTCCACACAGGTTTTACATATTTGAGTACAATAAAATATTGTGTTGAATGAGCAACAGAATGCTAAAACAGTATAGTATACGGCTAAATTCGTCAGATATCACTTTAAATAAAACTGTGTTTCATCTATAATTGTATATTGTCTCCTCTGCCTCACATGGTTTCATTAATACCTTTAGCAAACTTTACAAAAGAAGAATAACTAGACACAATAGCCATAGAAAAGAATACTTTTAGTTCAACAGCATCAAAGACAGCAAAGTCCAAAAATAATGAGCATTACATTCCTTAACAGAATGATTCAAGGAAAGTATGACATTAATTAGTTTAAAGTAAGCCAGTTTTTTTATTGTTCCTTGGACTTTAACTATCTGTTCATTGAACACTGTACAAAAACTGCAAGTGAAGCGAAAAGTCGAAATCTGACAAAATTGTGTCAAAATCTTAATAGGCGCAGGCAAGGGAGAAAGGGGGCATGGAGGCGACTGCCGCGAATAATATTTTCAAGACAATTATCTTTGAAAATAGTTCTAAAGATAGCAAATACCATAACAAATGGTAAAAGTAATATAATAAGTTGATAGTTCTTAAAAGAACTGTTTTAAGTAAAGAGCACTAACCCACTACCTCTAAATTAAGCCACACGATGCATTTCGGAAGACTACTCCTCAGGTGTCAACGTCTGCTAAATAAAAATTTACAATCTACCGATATTTAGAATGCCAAGAAAGAGTGTACGTCATCTCCAAAAGGGGAGATGACGCTCAAAACAGGGATAAATTAAAAACATTATCCTTTTGTCGACGGAGGACGGGATTGGTTAACCAATCGTTTAATTTAGATCTATTGGGTTAGTGCTCTTTACTTAAAACACTTCTTTTAAGAATTATCAACTTATTATATTACTTTTACCATTCACAATGGTATTTGCTATCTTTAGAACTATTTTCAGATTTGTTACCACGACAAGCAGTCTCTATTTTACAATTATCTTTATTTGTACTATTAAGTGCTATATTTACGTACGTACCATTTTGCACAAGGGGGGGGGGGGAACGATGTTGCCCTAAAGAACAAGTTACGGAGAAGACAAAAATAAACAAAAATATACCTGCAAGTCTTCTTCTTCACATTCTCTTCCTCAACATCTGAAAAATACTAAATAACAAATTAGTGATATGACAAAAACAAACAAGCAAAAACATACCGCAGTTTTTATATGCACCTAGTGCCATGTTTAACTGTTAAGCTGAATAATTACTAAAATGCATTAACCAAACTTTTGGAACTTGTGTATTTTTTAAAACCACTGTTAGCAGTAGATAAAGTTGAAAATTCCCAAATTTCAACTGAATGATGTATGGTCTTCATAGCAATTCCTAGAACGTTAGTTAAAGGGGTGGAGTGGTGTGTTTATTAATATACTCAGTAGTACCCGACTAATTTCTTTTGAAAAGAAAGGCTTAAAATCCTTCATTAAATTTCTTTTATAAGAAATCGTTGGAGGACAACTGAATATGTGAAACATTTTTAGAATAAAGTTGTTATTATTGATAGAAAAGTTAATCGAAAATCAAACAGGAATTTCAATTTTTTAATGGCCGTTTTTTAAGCATTTTTTTGATGGACAATAATATTGATTCCTCAAAAACACGAGTTCACTTGAGAAAATATCATAATTTACTTTAAATTTGTACAAAATTTATACCAAACTTTAAAACACAAATCGCGAGAAAAATTCTCCTATATACTACACATTGATTGTAGAACAAACAACAGAATTGTAGTTAATAAATAATGAGCCATGAAGCTAGTCCCGAGAAAATGGAGTAAATAAATAAGCTTTTCAAATGCTAAAACGTAGTTAAATTCTCTTTAGATTGTGTTAGATGAAAATAATGAGAATTGTACGTGGAATTACTTTAAATAAAAGAGAGTGAATCATGTACGTAAGAATTTATAAACCACACAAATGCAAATATAGTTGAGTAGAAGTCACTCAAGTACAGTCAACGAACGATAAATCTTCAAATTAGTTTTCATTCTGAAAGCATTCATTATCAATGTGTCTAGCAGCGTCATGGATCAACTCATTTCACGACGACAGAGGAAGTCACATGTATGGACACGTGACAAAACTTCAACAAGTAGACGAAGTTATCTTCATGACCACGTGATCGTCTGATTTCGCTACCAAGAACGTCAAATGATTCCCGGCATTACGAATCAACTGCATTGCACTAAAATGAACGATATGTGTTTACAGTCGGTGTATGAAAATATCTTGTTTTTGATTCAAAATTAAGACTATGATTATCACATAAACCAAAATGATTCCTTTCAAATATTAAGCCTAGGATTTCAGCTCGTGCATTTTATCTGCCTCTCAACTCGTTATCAAGTAAAAAGAGACTGGAGATGAGTCAAATCTCTTATTAATACAAACAGCAAGTGCACAGGACTTTCTTCACAATGACTGACAGCGATAAGCTGTGGTAGATAGATGGTGGAATGGTGGATAGATGGTGGAATGATGAATAGACGGAGCAATGGGTGGATATATGGTGCAATGGTGGATAGATGGTGCAATGGTGGATAGATGGTGCAATGGTGGAATGATGGTGCAATGATAGATAGATGGTGCAATGGTGGATAGATGTGCAATGGTGGATAGATGGTGCAATGGTGGATAGATGGTGAAATGGTGGATAGATGATGCAATGGTGGATGGATGGTGCAATGGTGGATATATGATGCAATGGTGGATAGATGGTGCAATGGTAGATAGATGGTGCAATGGTGGATAGATGGTGCAATGGTAGATGGATGGTGCAATGGTGGATAGATGATTCAATGGTGGATAGATGGTGCAATGATAGATAGATGGTGCAATGATGGATAGATGGTGCAATGGCGGATAGATGGTGCAATGGTGGATAGATGATGCAATGGTGGATAGATGATTCAATGGTGGATGGATGGTGCAATGGTAGATAGTTTGCCCAATGGTGGATAGATGCTACAATGTTAGATAGATGGTGCAATGGTGCAGCAATAGTAGATAAATGGTGCCATCCGTTCCCTAAGCTAAACAATCTCTAATATCAATAAATGAAAATCTAAGCTTCCAGCAATGTTGAATCAAATATTCTTTAAAGGATTTAACAGAATACCCTCAGCTACAACCCACACTGCAATGATTTTCATAACCAAAAGAGAACTTGCAGACTGTACACCAGAAAAGAGAGTATATGTTTTTGATGTTTAAGATTTTGTAAAATTCAATATGTTTACCTCGACAAGTAAAGGTCTTTTTGAAACTTTAGTTTCATCTCGTTGAATCTATTTAGAGTAAGCTAAGTGTAACGATTGTCCCATAACCTGTTTCAAAATCTCACAAAGTTTCCAACATCCTTTAGTTTCAAGGCAACTTTTTGTCAAAATTATGAGGAAATTTTTTATATCATTAACTCCTCACAATAAAAGAAGCTTCTGTTCGGTTAATAGCAAGTATACCTGCTCTGTCAAATTCTCATTATGCAATGTGACGAAAAAACGTTTTTGTAAAGCGTCCATTACACAAACTACATTATCTTGAGAGTGAAACGTGATGTGAATAAAGTTATGTTCAATTAACATATAATCAACATATAAAAAAACCCATAAGAAATGTCTGCAAAAATCTGCTCACTTGCAATTTTAGCTATAACATAAAGCCGACCATTAAAAGATCAAAACAAAATCGCATAAGGCAAATTATCAAGTATATAATGTCATTAAACGAGGCTGTCAAAACTCAAAAGTGAAGCTAATTATTTAATTGAATCCTGCCAAAAATTAACATCATAAAAGACAAGGATACACGACAAGGAACGCCTCCTTTCATCAAACTCGTCAACCAAACCATTCGAATTCGCGAAAGAAGACATTTCTTTAAAAAATGTCTAAATATTGTTCCTTTCAAGTGTTAGTTTCAGTCCGCCATCTTTGACAACCTAATGCATGTTTCCATGGCAAAATGACGCAATGAGTGAGAGCGCTGATTATGCAAAAATATTGATTGGATCGTTAGGAGTGATTGGTGAGAAATAGTTGGCAAAAAACAGTCCGAGTGGTTTCAAGTTACGTGTATCAGTATGTAAAGGTAGTAATGAATGAGCAACAGAGAACGAAAACAATCTTGTAGTCGTACTAACAAAATATTATTTAATTTAATGACTTACATGTGAGTGTGCCTTAGGCAAGATTATAAAAATTGTGTGAGAAAGAATTTAGTAGTTGTTAACGTGCTCATTTTTTCCCCGATGTCGGACTGGATTTTTATCCAAGCTTCCTTGTTCTTCTTTTATTGGTCTCCAATTATCGTATGTTTCTCTAGGGACTCCCCCAGTAGAGTTTTCTTCCTCAGGAGGGCTTTCTCCACGACGTAGCTAAATTTCAAAGAGTTTCTTGTAGTAAAATTAACGTTGCGTTATATTATAGCAACATATTATAATCACTGTCTCTCTTTTAGTAAATTCAATTTATGCAAATTTATGCAAAATGATTTTTCAGTTTGTTTTTTCATGTGGTGGGATGTTTTAATTTTTTACTTTACTCGCCCTACGGGCTTGGTCTTTAAAAAAAGCTTAGATCCGATATTTCTCCATAAAGACTACGAGCTCCCTTAATAAGAACTTAATCAACAGTAATATCAACTGGAGAGATAACTCTACATAAACACTCTATCGTAAGATTTAATTAGTGCATAATTTTTCTGTATGTGTATTCGTATTTCCTTCATTAAAATATGAAGAATATACAATTCGAAAAAAAAACAAAGAGCAGAAAACATTTCTGCTTTTGTTTGATATGTCAGTTGCCATTTTTACACAAATAATTCCCTCTACCCGTTTCAGTTGAAATGACAGTTCCCTGACATGGTCTTGCGTGTTTTTCGCACGCTTGACGGAGATAAAACATACTTTGGATCACGTGAGCACAATTTTACCAATCCCAGTTAGGGGGCGCTGGCGGATCCAGACTACGCCAAAATAAATTACTGCAGCACATTTTGGCGTATATTTACATTTCTACACACCTTAGAGGCTAATCCATTGGTAAAATTATATTCTTTAGAAATCAAAAACCAATAGTGTTTTTCTGAATGCAATTGGAATGAAAACTTGATGAGCTGTAATTTATTTTGAAGCAGACTGAATCCGATTCGCCTCTGCTAAGGGGGTTTCATGAACTAACGAGTGAACGGGAATCGCTGCTAGGCAAATTCAGTTAAAAGCAATGCTATATTTTCTTATTACACGTGCCTGCGTCGGTTATCAGATAATTTTATTACTCACGTTTTTCTTGTTTTTTTCTTATCCAAACCTTTCTTTCCTTTTTTTTAGTCCGTAAATCACTGACATCATAACGCGTGAGATCTCGGTACTAGCGTGCCTTTTTACAATTACAACTATATGTGAACTAGGCTTTAGAAGTAAGGTTTCATATATTTTTAAGTAGTGGTAATAATTTTTTACTAATTTAATTGGCACAAATTTATGCGCTCAATTGAAGTGGGATGTTCTTTACGCTTAAAAACGGAGTATCGCCAAGATGACAACAACATGTTACATGTTCCTCGCGCGCGTGGGGGAGACTATTTATTTTGAGTCACGTGAGCGCAATTCCATCAATCACAGTTAGCTGTGGTTCAGACATACAAACAACCTATAAGTAATAAGCCTACCTGTTTCCACACGACCATGAGAATAGCAATATTGGCAACAACAAGACCAGCACAACAAATATAAATAAACCATCCCCATGGTTTTTCCACACAACTGTGTGAATTTGATGTTGATGGTATATAACCAGGTAAACATACACACCAATAACTACCATGTGTGTTTATACAGTTGGAGTTGATACAACCACCATTTCCATTTTTACATTCGTTTATATCACCACATGATTTGCCATCATCTTAATGGATAAAAGATAGCTACCATGTATGGAAACTTCAGCAAAATGATTATCACCATGGAGAAAATTGAAGTAGTTAATCGAAGTTCTTTACTTTGTGACAATGGTTAAAATAATGAAAAGATCAACATGAAAAGTTCTGAACTAAGCTATGTAACTGGATAGCTCTATTTCTTCTTAACTATGGCACGCTACTGGGTCATCTGGGACAGTCAGAGCTTATGTTGTGCAAATTTACTTAGCTAACTTAACAACTCAATTGATTGTAAACTTAGCAGTGATGGGCCAAGGATTATTTGTCATAGGTCCAATGTTACTTAGAGATGGAAGCTAGTTTGAACTTTACCGATGCAAGTCATTTTTAAAAAAGTTTAGTTCAGTGAAATATAAGTTAAATAATTATCACCTTTAACTTTATAGCCTGGAAAATTCACACAAGAACATTTTCCATCTGCAGAGTTACAAACATCTTGACATCCCCCGTTAGGTGAACCACATTGACGAGACTCTTCTAAAGAAGGACATGGGGACCCCCCGTGAGCAGGATTTTTCGTGATGTGACGACGACGAGTACTCGTTCCAATGTCACATTTTGAACTACAAGCACTAAATTCCGTCCACGCTGTAGAAAGATGAAGGAAGAATATTGGATTAAAAATCAAGTTATGTGTTTCTCTCCTTTTATGGTGTTGAAACTTTCTCACTGTCAGTAGCGTAGTCAGCTTGAACGTTTCGGTCCTGCCTTGTAAATTCAGATCATTATCATGATTTATGTTTTTATGAATTTATTGTTTTTGCAGTAAGTGTATAAAGAAAAATTTCACGGTAATGAGTGAACAAGCGGGATGGCTACGCCACATTATTAAATCTTGACCTTACACTATCTTATAAACTTGTATTACATATAACAAGTATTAACAAACGATTTCTTTGTGTTGTAAGTGTCATGTATGAAATTATAATGTACACTGTAGTTAACGAGCGATCCCAAAGATTAGTGTAAACTGTAAATATGCCTTGACGGACGGAATTTTGCTATTTTGAACATAATGATTGAACGCTGTTATCTTGTTTCGTTGCTTCGACGTTTGTAACAATTGGAATTATTTTTTGCAAATTTTCGCACCTATGATTGTTCATTTCAGGTCGTTTCAAATCGTCTCATCGAAAGAACCGATCGTCACTAAATACTGCAAGTTATAATGACAAGGATTATCTAAAATAATCTAAAAGTCGAAGCGCGAATTCCGGCATAAGGATTGAAAATTTCAGAAATTATTAAATGCAGTTAAGCACAAGATAGTTTATAGCAACATTTGCAAATCTAAAGAACGCAGGAAGATAATTCTGGATTCAATATTCAATTGAAAGATTACACAAAATAAGACCATATTTGTGTCTACATTACCTCAAAATAACCAACACGATATTCATGCATCAAACGAATGGAGAAATCAAAAGATGTCATGCAAGACATAACTTCACTTTCGGTGATAAGCAAAACGAAATTCCAATGGTTTGAAAACATATTTCGGCATTTAGAAATCAATATTTGATGTTACGGATGGATAAGCCATGACTTATACAATGAGCAACTAATACTTTTTAAGCATTTCTTTCAACATCTAAAATAAGGCAAAGCAATAACTTACGCGAAACTTGACAATTTACTGAAGGTGGAGGTGGTGGAGAACTTCTTCGTCGTCTTATTCTGAATCCTGATAACACGAAGATCAAATGAAATACCAACAATAAATAAGTAACAAGAAAGAAACGTTTCAATAACATTACTAATGATTCAAACGTTTTACAACAGGAAAATATTCTTTATATAAATGAAAAAGAACTCCGGTTTAAAGTTGTTAAAGCTGTCTTCAATCATTAACTAACGTACTTTCATATTTCGAACACACCGTTCACACTGTGATTTCATGCTGTTTCTTTTCTGTTTTCATGAACGCTAAACTGCATGTGTTATTCAAATGAGACATTCCACACAGTTTTAATTATGAGTATAATAAAACATTGTGTTGAATGAGCAACAGAATGCTAAAACAGTATAGTATACGGCTAAATTCGTCAGATATCACTTTAAATAAAACTGTGTTTCGTCTATAATTGTATATGTCTCCTCTGCCTTACATGGTTTCATTAATTTCTTTAGTAAACTTTACAAAAGAATAACTAGACACAATAGCCATAGAAAAGAATACTTTTATTTCAACAGCATCAAAGACAGCAAAGTCCAAAAATAATGAGCATTACATTCCTTAACAGAATGATTCAAGAAAGTATGACATCAATTAGTTTAAGTAAGCCAGTTTTTTTATTGCTTCTTGAACTTTAACTATCTGTTTATTTAACAATGTACAAAAACTGCAAGTGAAGCGAAAAGTCGAAATCTGAGAAATTTGTGTCAAAATCTTAATAGGCGGAGGCAAGGGAGAAAGGCGGCACGGAGGCGACTGCCGCAAATAATATTTTCAAGACAATTATCTTTGAAAATAGTTCAAAAGATAGCAAATACCATAATGAATGGTAAAAGTAATATAATAAGTTGATAGTTCCTAAAAGAACTGTTTTAAGTAAAGAGCACTAACCCAATAGTTCTAAAATAAATGTTATGAAACTAAACGACACGATGCATGTCGGCAGACTACTCCTCAGGTGTCAACGTCTGCTAAATGAAAAATTACAATCTACCGATATTTATAATGCCAGGAAAGACTGTACATCATCTCCAAAAGGGGAGATGACGCTCAAAACAGGGATAAATTGAAAACATTATCCTTTTGTCGACGGAGGACGTGATTGGTTAACCAATCGTTTGATTTAGAACTATTGTGTTAGTGCTCTTTACTTAAAACAGTTCTTTTAAGAATTATCAACTTATTATATTACTTTTACCATTCACCATGGTATTTGCTATCTTTAACACGATTTTCAGATTTGTCACCACGACAAGCAGTCTCTATTTTACAATTATCTTTATTTGTACAATTAAGTGCTATATTTATGTACGTACCATTTTGCATAAGAGGGGCGGGGGGACGATGTTGCCCCTAAAGAACAAGTTACGGAGAAGACAAAAATAAACAAACATATACCTGCAAGTCTTCTTCTTGATATTCTCTTCCTCAGCATCTGAAAAATACTAAATAACAAGTTGGTGATATGACAAAAACAAACAAGCAAAAACATACCGCAGTTTTTATGTGCGCCTAGTGCCATGTTTAACTGTTAAGCTGAATAATTACTAAAATGCATTGACCAAACTTTTGGAGCTTGTGTATTTTTTAAAACCACTGTTAACAGTAGATAAAGTTAAAATTCCCAAATTTCAACTGAATGATGTATGGTCTTCAGAGCAATTCCTTCAGAACGTTAGTTAAAGGAGATGGAGTGGCGTGTTTATTTATATACTCTGTAGTATCCGACTAATTTCTTTTGAAAAGAAAGGCTTAAAATCCTTCATTAAATTGCTTTCATAAGAAATCTTTGGAGGACAACTGAATATATGAAACGTTTTTCCAATAAAGTTGTTATTGTTGATAGAAAAGTTAATCGAAAAGCAAACACGCATTTCAATTTTTAATGGCCGTTTTTTACATATTTTTTTGCTGGACAATAATATTGATTCCTCAAAAACACGCGTTCACTTGAGAAAATATCATAATTTACTTTAAATTTGTACAAAATTTATACCAAACTTTCAAACACAAATCGCGAGAAAAATTCTCCTATATACTATGCATTGATTGTAGAGCAAACAACAGAATTGTAGTTAATAAATAATGAGCCATGAAGCTAGGCTCGAGAAAATGGAGTAAATAAATAAGCTTTTCAAATGCTAAAACGTAGTTAAATTCTCTTGTGTTAGATGAAAATACTAAAAATTGTACGTAGAATTACTTTAAATAAAAGAGAGTGAATCATGTACGTAAGAATTTATAAACCACACAAACGCAAATATAGTTGTGTTGAAGTCACTCAAGTATAGTCAACGAACGATAAATCTTCAAATTAAGTTTCATTCTAAAAGCATTCATTATCAATGTGTCTAGCAGCGTCGTGGATCAACTCATTCCACCACTACAGAGGAAGTCACGTGTAAGGACACGTGACAAAACTTCAACAAGTAGACGATGTTATCTTCATGACCACGTGATCGTCTGATTTCGCTACCAAGAACGTCAAATGATTCCCGGCATTACGAATCAACTGCATTGCACTAAAATGAACGATATGTGTTTACAGTCGCCAAAATTAAGACTATGATTATCATACAAACCAAAATTATTCTTTTCAAATATTAAGCCTAAGATTTCAGCTCGTGCATTTTATCTGCCTCTCAACTCGTTATCAAGTAAAAAGAGACTGGAGATGAGTCAAATCTCTTATTAATACATACAAGTGCACAGGACTTTCTTCCCAATGACTGAGAGCGATGGGCAGTGGTAGATAGATGGTGGAATGGTGGATAGATGGTGGAATGGTAGATAGATGGTGGAATGGTAGATAGATGGTGGAATGGTAGATAGATGGTGCAATGGTGGATAGATGGTGGAATGGTGGATAGATGGTGGAATGGTAGATAGATGGTGCAATGGTAGATAGAGGGTACAATGGCGGATAGATGATGCAATGGGAGATAGATGATGCAATGACAGATAGATGGTGCAATGGTGGATAGATGGTGCAATGATGAATAGATGGTGTAATGGTGGATAGATGGTTCAATGGTAGATAGATGGTGCAATGGTAGATAGATGGTGCAATGGTAGATAGATGGTGCAATGGTGGATAGATGGTGCAATGATGAATAGATGGTGCAATGGTAGATAGATGGTGCAATGGTAGATAGATGGTGCAATGGTAGATAGATGGTGCAATGGTGGATAGATGGTGCAATGATGAATAGATGGTGCAATGGTAGATAGATGGTGCAATGGTAGATAGATGGTGCAATGGTAGATAGATGGTGCAATGGTGGATAGATGGTGCAATGATGAATAGATGGTGCAATGGTGGATAGATGGTTCAATGGTAGATAGATGGTTCAATGGTAGATAGATGGTGCAATGGTAGATAGATGGTGCAATGGTAGATAGATGGTGCAATGGTGGATAGATGGTGCAATGATGAATAGATGGTGCAATGGTAGATAGATGGTGCAATGGTAGATAGATGGTGCAATGGTAGATAGATGGTGCAATGGTGGATAGATGGTGCAATGATGAATAGATGGTGCAATGGTGGATAGATGGTTCAATGGTAGATAGATGGTGCAATGGTAGATAGATGGTGCAATGGTAGATAGATGGTGCAATGGTAGATAGATGGTGCAATGGTAGATAGATGGTGCAATGGTAGATAGATGGTGCAATGGTGGATATATGGTGCTATGATGGATAGATGGTGTAATGGTAGATGATGGTGCAATGGTGGATAGATGGGCATTGGTAGATAGATGGTGCAATGGTAGATAGATGGTGCAATGGTAGATAGATGGTGCAATGGTAGATAGATGGTGCAATGGTGGATAGATGGTGCTATGATGGATAGATGGTGCAATGGTGGATAGATGGTTCAATGGTAGATAGATGGTGCAATGGTAGATAGATGGTGCAATGGTAGATAGATGGTGCAATGGTAGATAGATGGTGCAATGGTAGATAGATGGTGCAATGGTAGATAGATGGTGCAATGGTGGATATATGGTGCTATGATGGATAGATGGTGTAATGGTAGATAGATGGTGCAATGGTGGATAGATGGGCATTGGTAGATAGATGGTGCAATGGTAGATAGATGGTGCAATGGTGGATATATGGTGCTATGATGGATAGATGGTGCAATGGTAGATAGATGGTGCAATGGTAGATAGATGGTGCAATGGTAGATAGATGGTGCAATGGTGGATAGATGGTGCAATGATGAGATGGTGCAATGGTGGATAGATGGTTCAATGGTAGATAGATGGTGCAATGGTAGATAGATGGTGCAATGGTAGATAGATGGTGCAATGGTATATAGATGGTGCAATGGTAGATAGATGGTGCAATGGTAGATAGATGGTGCAATGGTGGATATATGGTGCTATGATGGATAGATGGTGTAATGGTAGATAGATGGTGCAATGGTGGATAGATGGGCATTGGTAGATAGATGGTGCAATGGTAGATAGATGGTGCAATGGTGGATATATGGTGCTATGATGGATAGATGGTGTAATGGTAGATAGATGGTGCAATGGTGGATAGATGGTCATTGGTAGATAGATGTTGGAATGGTGGATAGATGGTACAATGATGGATATATGGTACAATGATGGATAGATGGTGCAATGGTGGATAGATGGTGCAATGGTGGATTGATGGTGCAATGATTGATAGATGGTGCAATGGTAGATAGATGGTGCAATGGTGGATAGATGGTGCAATGGTGGATAGATGGTGCAATGGTGGATGAATGGTGCAATGGTAGATAGATGGTGCAATGGTGGATAGATGAGCAGTGGTAAATAGATAGTGCAATGGTAGATAGATGGTGCAATGATAGATAGATGGTGCAATGGTGGAAAGATGGGCAGTGGTGATAGATGGTGCAATGGTGGATAGATGGTGCAATGATGAATAGATAGTGCAATGATGGATATGTGGTGCAATGGTGGATAGATGGTGCAATGGTAGATAGATGGTGCAATGGTGGATAGATGATTCAATGGTGGATAGATGGTGCAATGGTAGGTAGATGGTGCAATGGTGCAGCAATAGTAGATAAATGGTGCCATCCGTTCCCTCAGCTAAACAATCTCTAATATCAATAAATGAAAATCTAAGCTCCCAGCAATGTTGAATCAAATATTCTTTAAGGATTTAACAGAATACCTTCAGCTACAACCCACACTAGTGATGATTATCATAACCAAAAGAGAACTTGCAGATTGTACACCAGAAAATAGAGTATATGTTTTTGATGTTTAAGATTTTGTAAAATTCAATTTGTTTACCTCAACAAGTAAAGGTCTTTTTGAAACTTTAGTTTCATCTCGTTGAATCTATTTAGAGTAAGGTAAGTGTAACGATTGTCCCATAACCTGTTTCAAAATCTCACAAATGTATAAGTAGATGGATAAAAATGAAACTCAGAGCAAGAGAAACTTACTCGTAACAATTATTCAAGGAAAATTATTGGAGATAAGTTGGAAAATAAAATTAAATTAAATTGCAACAAAACCTTGCTAAGTAACTTCTTTGTCGGATTAATTGTTCCACCATGAGCATGAAAAGGGTTTGTGTTTTTTCCCATGACTGTCAAATATAGAATATGTAAAGTGTGAGACAAGTACATCAATGTACAACACCAGTACACAAATGAGTAAAACAAGTAATTCAATGTAAAATACAAGTATGGCAAGGTATAAACAAGTACACCAAGGTATAAGCTAGGGTATAAGGTTAAAAACACCAAGGTCTAAGACAAAAACTCAAGAAAAAAATCAACCTGTTCTCATGGAGTAAACACCAGCAAACTTATTCACATCTTGACTTTTCTTTTCTTTAAAGTCATGAAAACAGAAATCAATTTAAATTTAGACAACGAACAATCTTTGTTTTCCTGAGAAAGACATCTTATTGTTGAAAAGAAAACAAAGACATACCTTGCGTTGAGATAGCTGACTTTCGTGAAACTTGCTTCGGAGCTCGATAATCAATTTCTAAGTGTCCAAAACTAAAATTTTTTTCGCTTTTACTACTAACATTTGATCTTATTTCACCGTAACTTTCTATTACAAGCTCATTTTTAGGATAAAACGACGTCAACTCTGTGCCAAGGTCTCTTATCTTTTGGTTGATGAAATCGATAGAATCCATTTTTCCTTTAGAGGCTTCGCAGATAAGTTAAAGACGAATACTATATTCGCTCGATTTTTATATGTACATTACACATTTTCCCATTTTTTCATAGGTTTATACAAAGAAAACCCGAAGCAAATGTCTGCAAATATCTGCTCACTTGCAATTTTAGCTATAAAATAAAGCCGACAATTAAAAGATCAAAACAAAATCGCATAAGGCAAATTACCAAGTATATAATGTCATTAAACGAGGCTGTCAAGACTCAAAAGGGAAGCTAATTATTTAATTGAATGCTGCCAAAATTAACATCATAAAAGACAAGGATACACGACAAGGAACGCATCTTTTTATCAAACTCGTCAACCAAACCATTCGAATTTACGAAAGAAGACATTTCTTTAAAACAATTTCTAAATATTGTTCCTTTCAAGTGTTAGTTTCAGTCCGCCATCTTTGACAACCTAATGCATGTTTCCATGGGAAAATGACGCATGAGTGAGAGCGCTGATTATGCAAAAAAATTGATTGGTGAGCAAGAGTTGGCAAATAACAGTCCGAGTGGTTTCAAGTTACGTGTATCAGTATGTAAAGGTAGAAATGAATGAGCAAAAGAGAACGAAAACAATCTTGTAGTCGTACTAACAAAATATTATTTAATTTAATGACTTATTTGTGTGTGTGCCTTAGGCTTGATTTCAAAAATTGTGTGAGAAAGAATTTAGTAATTGTTTGAGTACTCGTTGCTTCCCCGATGTCAGACTTAATTTTCATCCAAGCTTCCTTGTTCTTGTTTTATTGGTCTCCAATAGCGTTCTTCGTCTACTTGTCTAGGGTCTTTTCCAGTAGGGTTTTCTCTCTCAGGAGGGTTTTCTCCCTCAGGAGGGTTTTCCCCCTCAGGAGGGTTTACTCCCTCAGGAAGGCTTTCTTTCTCAGGAAGGTTTTCTCCCTTATGAGGGTTTTCTCCCTCAGGAAGGTTTTCTCCCTTATGAGGATTTTCTCTCTCAGGAGGGTTTTTTCCCTTATGAGGGTTTTCTCCCTCAGGAAGGTTTACACCCTCAGGAAGGTTTTCTCCCTCAGGAAGGTTTTCTCCCTCAGGAGGGTTTACTTCCTTAGGAAGGTTTTCTCCCTCATGAGGGTTTTCTCCATGACGTAGCTAAATTTGAAAGAGTTTCTTTCAGTAAAATTAACATTTCGTTATATTATAATAAGATAATAACATATTATAATAATCTGCGTATTTATGCAAAATGATTTGTCAGTTTGCATTTTCATATGGTGGGATGTTTTAATTTTTTACTTTACTCGCCCTACGTGCTTGGTCAGTAAAAAAAAACTTCCATCCGATATTTCTCCATAAAGACCACGAGCTCGCTTAATAAGGGCTTAATAAACAGTAATATCAACTGGAGAGATAACTCTACATAAACTCTCTATCATTATGGCGTGTTTTTCGCTCGCGTGAAGGAGATATAATTTATTTTGGATCATGTGAGCACAATTTTACCAGTCCAAGTTAGGGGGGCTTACTATAAAAGTACAAATAATAAACCTACCTGTTGTCTTCTCCACTTCCAGATCAAGCAAATTATACAAATGAAAAGAACAAAACAAACGACAATGATCCATTGAAGAGAAATACTGGTCTTAGATGAAGTACTCGACCAAGTACTGAAACCAAGAAGCCATTCAACTTGGGTTTTGTTTAAAAGAACACTGGCTTCAAACGCTGGGATCAATTTGTAGTTAGGTTTCTCTGCGATAGCAAGCACGACTTTAGTGAACGCTCCTTCTTCCATATAAAGGAGCAACTCCACATACACAGTTCTGTTTGATACACCGCGTTGTTTTCTCGAAGCAATATCGTTATCTGTTGAAAAAATTCAAATCAATGTTCGAAAATACTTCTACTTTTAGCATCGTCAGCTGAATTTTTAATTGGTTATCATATGATTTAGCAATTCTTAATTTGTCGGATGTTTTTCCTTTGGCACAGTATCCGTGACGTAAAGGACTCGCTTTTTCAATCCTGCTATGTATAGTTTTTTGTGAAAACGATAAATTTGTATAGGAAATAGCAAGGTTTCGAGTGCAATTTGGGAAAAACATGCACGAGTGAGATTTTTCAAAGACTATCAAAATTGCACGAGTTCATCACTTCTGACAAAATGGCGCGCTTTGTTTGGCTCATAAACATTTTTGCCGGTCCATGATTAGGGAGCTTTAGCAAGAGTACGACTACGACAACGAGTACGAAGTTTGACCGTGTAAGGGAATCGCACGAGGAAGTTTGTTGTCGTTGTCGCTTCGTGAAAAGGAATATTTATCAAAGCCTACGAGTACCAGAGCCCTCTATTAGTATAAGAGTTGGGACAAACGGTCTGAGGCGAACGCGGAGCCGCCATTTTGGTTCCTACTTGCCAAGTGAAACTATAATAATACTATAGACCCATTGCATGTGACGTCACAATGCCGGTGACGTTACATCTGGAGGACAAGCAAACGCGACATGTAAATAACAAAGCAATATTATTGTTAAGGATGGTTAACTTTTGCGCAATTTATAGCTGTTCAAGGCGTGCTGATAGGGATAAGGAATTAAGTTTTTATCGCATACCAGCTGTGAAAACCAATGCAAGCAAAATATTGCAAGATTTACACAAGGAACGTCGTTCTTTGTGGCTTCGAAGAATTCGTCGGGCAGACATTGATGATTCTAAATGCACGTATTTACGAGTGTGTAGCCTTTATTTTGTTACTGGTAAGCCAATGAGTTGAAAAAAGCTTTGTTGTGTTCAGGGGCGGATCTAGGATTTTTCAAACATCAGTCATAAAACGTCGAAGACGCTCCGCACCTGGGGGGGTCTGAGGCATTCTCCCCTGAGAAATTTTGAATTTCAGAGCCTTGAAAATGCCATTTTCAGCGTTTTAGAGCAATACAAAATGTATTTGTGGGCATCGTTTTGCGTAAAACAACACATTTTGCTTACGTTTTTTCAAAAAAAAATGAAGTGAACAATACTTGAATGTTTTGCCAAATATTTAGGCTCATTATCATGCCAAATATATGGCTCATTAGCATGTCTAGGAACGTAAAATTTATTTTACAATAATGCTATTCAAAACAGATATAGTCTTTAAAATTTCTACCAAGTTGTCAGGCATAGACCCCTAGAGACCCCCATTCAAACCTCTATGTAATGAGTTTAGTTAAGTTAAAAATTTGGTACTACAAGTGACAGTTCATAGATATAGAAAAGCTCAGACTTCAAACCATGCAAGTTTATTGTAACCCTTTACCCATCTCCACATCAGTGCCAGCAAATTCACCTTTTGAGAAAAAACTCAAAATTTTTTCTGCCAAAGATTAAGCAAAAATTATCAGAGTGAAAATTTGCAGTTAAGGACAGCTTAATGCCATAAATGTTTATTAGGCATTTCACTAGACTATTATCTTCTGTAAGTATATGCAAGGTGTGCTATATAGCAATCACTAGTAGCATTGTATTTGCAAATACAAACAGAATGTAACCAACATGTCTTTAATTATATAATTACATGAATGTTAAAATTGGTTCATGTGTCATGCTTACTGGTTATGATAAATATCTTTTCATATGATCAAAGCTTGTTTAAATGTAAATCTGAAATAATTTAGTTTAGAAATTATAATGATCATCAGAAAAATTACCTAGTGATCATGAAAATACTTTGCTGTTTTGCCAAATTTCAAGGTTTATCTGCATACATAGAAAGACATTTTTACTTTATAGAAAATGCTTTTCATACATCAATAGCCCTTTGGAATTTATGGCAAACAATCTGGTATGAGCCGTAGATTAACACACCTTTACATCTCTACATGAGGTGTTCAGTTAGAAAAGGGACAATATGTGACATGGGACAACATTTCATGTATGTGAAATACTCAGGTTTAATACCATTCCAGTCAAATTGTCAAAATAAAAGCTTCATGGATCAGAAGACTCAAAATCACAGGTTATAGTAAACAGCTTCTCATGTAATCAATGTTAGTTTTCTCAAATCTTAAACAATATGTAGTATAACTGTCCAATGATTGAATGATCAATGATCATAAACTGAAAAGCCCCAAACATTTGTTTATGATAAAGTAAATAATAGTATGGCGCCTTATGGCTACAGATTTTTTGTCCATTGAAATATATTTGCAGGAATGTAGGATTTCGCTGCCATATAACGGCCACGATTCCCCAAGCACTAAAGAAATCATAGCTAAAAGTCCTTCGTCAACAACAATTTTAGAAGCATCAATCTGCTTACCATACGCCATATTGACATAAATCGCATCACACACTCGCATAAATTGACTTTGATATATTACATTCATGCATACACTTCACTTGTCCTTTACTTACGATTTTGGATGTAAATTTCTGCTGATAAAACTCAAAACAATGTTGGCTTTCTTTTGAACATCAATGACTGAAATGTCGCTCGCGAGATCGTCTTTGCCAAGCATTTAAAATTTATCCATAAATTTCCACCCTCTTGAAAAATTCACATTTTGGACAGCAGCATTCATGTCAATATATGAATTTGTAAAGATTTCCATAAATTCCATCTGATTGTAGTTTAGTTTCTATCATGCTTATAAAATTACTATAAAACGATCAAACATTCAATTCAGACAGTGAGCTTGACTATGTTAGTTCAGTTGGCTATCAGTCGAAATCCGTCAAACCAATCACAATAAAGCAAAATTCAAATGAACCAATTGTAAGATAGCAATTGGACTCCTTATACGTCCGGCCACCCTTTTATCAGTCGAGACCATTCCAGACTGTCCACTGATCTGGCTATTGACCAATAAAATAAGCGTTTTGACGTTCATAGACTCCTTTATCCGTCGAACCAGTCAAGCCACCCCTTATCAGTCGGTTATTCCAGGTCAATTAAAATTCAACTGATCTGGTTACCAACGAGATATTCATTGTATTAGTCATTAGTTTTCAATAATAAATAATGCGGGATTTTTATCACGAAGTAAATGCGATAAGAAAATAATTAATTAATATGAATAGGTAATTTTTGAATTTCAAACATCAGTCGCGCGACGGATTAGACATACTCTAGATCCGCCCCTGCTGATGCAGTTTCAATAGTTTTCTTACTCCAAAGCTTGTTTTTTAATCGAAGATGATTTCTCATTATGTTCTGAAATTGGTCAATCTACAAACTCTCAATTCTCAGCCACTTCCACACTAAAACAAACAACTACACCAAATCACAGAAATTCTTATGATTTTCCATGTCGTATTTTGTTTTTTTAGTTCATCATTTAAAAATGAAGTAATTATAATTAGGATATTCACTGAAACAGCTGAGTACAATATATTTTTGGTAATAAATTGTACAAATGTACCCTACTTCTGTAGCTCAAAGTAGAACATTACTTCTCTTCTAGACTTGTCAATGATATTTTAATTGTAGGTTTTGTTTATAAGATCACAGAGGCATATCTCTATAATTTCAGCTATTTGGGCTTTTTAATGTATATTACAACTGTTGCTGCCTTTCTCATATATATTAAAATATCGCCGGCTTTCTCATATATATTTAGGTGCTGCTAGCTTTTTGATATATATATTTCACTGGCAATACAAGGCATAGAATTTGAACGAATGGGGCTGAGCCCCCTCCAACAAATCCCTGTTTGATCATTAAACACATAAAGAAGTTTTGTCATTGCTCAACCAATAAATTTAACTCTTTGCTAAATTAAAGATTGGATCAGACTCATATGCTGTATAAAAGACTACAAACAGTAGCATTTATAGCAAACAGACTGTTCTTCAACAACAGAATTGTTTCATGTTATAGAAATAATATATTCATTTTAAAGCAATGCTTCACCAAAATTTTCAGCAGAATCCTTAACAAACTTTATCAGAAATAAACTTTAATACTTTATAAAGTGTTAAAGGCGAAATAACTTCATAAAAAAGAAATAAAACGTTTAAGGCCAAATGCATCTTGGTCAAATAATTGCATATTTCAATAACTAAAAAGTACAAAAGTCTGTCATTTGCTGCTGAGCAAGAAAATTTTGTGATCTTTCAGAATAAAAAATGTCATGCTTAGATTAAATTGGGGGGCATAAGCCACTCACTACCATTAAATTGTTACAAATCTTGAACACAAATCTCTCAGGACCAAATCTGCATGATTACTATGATTCGAAGTTTCAAACAAAGTCTTGTCAAACTATTTGATAACACTGATGCCAGGATAACATTGCCGCTTGCCACCAAGCTTAAAGATCTTGAAAACTTGTTACAGAGTCGGAACATAAGCCGAGAAAACACGTTCACGTACGAAAAATACTTCTTACAATGGGTCACGATCAATTTGAAGAACGAACTAGTAAACCGCAAACGAAGCACAAACCAATGAAATTAAATCACGTCTGCCGCAAATCATTAAAAAAACGCAAAGAGCTTGCTATTATTCCTAACATATTTGATACTACCAATGAATAAGCTTAAATTGCCTTCTTCTTTTGCATATAAACCCAATTTCCCTGCCATTGTGAACAAAACAACAAATGGTATAAAATGACACAAACGAACACAACCAGGGGCGGATCTAGAGTATGTCTAATCCGTCGCGCGACTGATGTTTGAAATTCAAAAATTACCTATTCATATTAATTAAAAAATCATTAATTATTCTTATTTTCTTATCGCATTTACTTCGTGATAAAATCCCGCATTATTTATTATTGAAAACTAATGACTAATCAATGAATATCTCGTTGGTAACCAGATCAGTTGAATTTTAATTGACCTGGAATAACCGACTAATAAGCGGTGGCTTGACTAGTTCGACGGATAAAGGAGTCTATGAACGTCAAAAACGCTTATTTTATTGGTCAATAGCCAGATCAGTGGACAGTCTGGAATGGTCCCGACTGATAATAAGGGTGGCCGGACGTATAAAGGAGTCAATTGCTATCTTACAATTAGTTCATTTGAATTTTTGCTTTATTGTGATTGGTTTGACGGATTTCGACTGATAGCCAACTGAACTAACATAGTCAAGCTCACTGTCTGAATTGAATGTTTGATCGTTTTATAGTAATTTTATAAGCATGATAGAAACTAAACTACAATCAGATGGAATTTATGGAAATTTTACAAATTCATATATTGACATGAATGCTGCTGTCCAAAATGAATTTTTTCAAGAGGGTGAAATTTATGGATAAATTTTAAATGCTTGGCAAAGACGATCTGAGCGACATTTCAGTCATTGATGTTCAAAAGAAAGCCAACATTGTTTTGAGTTTTATCAGCAGAAATTTACATCCAAAATCGTAAGTAAAGGACAAGTGAAGTGTATGCATGAATGTAATATGTCAAAATCAATTTATGCGAGTGTGTGATGCGATTTATGTCAATATGGCGTATGGTAAGCAGATTGATGCTTCTAAAATTGTTGTTGACGAAGGACTTTTAGCTATGATTTCTTTAGTGCTTGGGGAATCGTGGCCGTTATATGGCAGCGAAATCCTACATTCCTGCAAATATATTTCAATGGACAAAAAATCTGTAGCCATAAGGCGCCATACCATTATTTACTTTATCATAAACAAATGTTTGGGGCTTTTCAGTTTATGATCATTGATCATTCAATCATTGGACAGTTATACTACATATTGTTTAAGATTTGAGAAAACTAACATTGATTACATGAGAAGCTGTTTACTATAACCTGTGATTTTGAGTCTTCTGATCCATGAAGCTTTTATTTTGACAATTTGACTGGAATGGTATTAAACCTGAGTATTTCACATACATGGAATGTTGTCCCATGTCACATATTGTCCCCTTTTCTAACTGAACACCTCATGTAGAGATGTAAAGGTGTGTTAATCAAGGCTCATACCAGATTGTTTGCCATAAATTCCAAAGGGCTATTGATGTATGAAAAGCATTTTCTATAAAGTAAAATGTCTTTCTATGTATGCAGATAAACCTTGAAATTTGGCAAAACAGCAAAGTATTTTCATGATCACTAGGTAATTTTTCTGATGATCATTATAATTTCTAAACTAAATTATTTCTGATTTACATTTAAACAAGCTTTGATCATATGAAAGATATTTATCATAACCAGTAAGCATGACACATGAACCAATTTTAACATTCATGTAATTATATAATTAAAGACATGTTGGTTACATTCTGTTTGTATTTGCAAATACAATGCTACTAGTGATTGCTATATAGCACACCTTGCATATACTTACAGGAGATAATAGTCTAGTGAAATGCCTAATAAACATTTATGGCATTAAGCTGTCCTAACTGCAAATTTTCACTCTGATAATTTTGCTTAACCTTTGGCAGAAAAATTTTGAGTTTTCTCAAAAGTGAATTTGCTGGCACTGATGTGGAGATGGGTAAAGGGTTACAATAAACTTGCATGGTTTGAAGTCTGAGCTTTTCTATATCTATGAACTGTCACTTGTGTATTTCTAACTTAACTAAACTCATTACATAGAGGTTTGAATGGGGTCTCTAGGGGGGTCTATGCCTGACAACTTGGTAGAAATTTTTAAAGACTATATCTGTTTTTGAATAGCATTATTGTAAAATAAATTTTACGTTCCTAGACATGCTAATAAGCCATATATTTGGCATGATAATGAGCCTAAATATTTGGCAAAACATTCAAGTATTGTTCACTTCATTTTTTTGAAAAACGTAAGCAAAATGTGTTGTTTTACGCAAAAACGATGCCCACAAATACATTTTGTATTGCTCTAAAACGCTGAAAATGGCATTTTCAAGGCTCTGAAATTCAAAATTTCTCAGGGGAGAATGCCTCAGACCCCCCCAGGTGCGGAGCGTCTTCGACGTTTTATGACTGATGTTTGAAAAATCCTAGATCCGCCCCTGCTGCATGACGTATGTTATGTACAATTTTATAACACGATTGATCTAAAGACAAAACAACGACAAAGAAGAAACACAAAACTCTTTCATAACAATAATAGTTGTTGCAAAAAAAGCTTGTCAATGCCTTTATAAGAGAATCCTTTATAACAGCACCAACCAAAACAAATGTTGTACAATCACTTTCACATTACACATAAATTTAAGCGATGAAAAGTTCCTTACTTATAATCTAGGACCTACGTGTGCATTCCTTTCCATCTCCTTGGTAACCTTCTTTACAGAGGCACTTGTAGCTGTCTGGGCCAGTGTCACTACACGTTGCATGCTCATGGCAATCATCTCTGTCAGTTCCACATATTACTAACGCTAATAATGACAATTATACAAAAAATTCATCAGTTTATTTTAAAAATGCTATTATTCCTGACAGTTCAAAGAATATTGCCAAAAGCTATAAGCGTTGCAAGTCCTAAGTCGTGGGCTGGATGCTAGAAAATTGAATTGAATTATTAACAAGGTTGTTGGTGAATCCTCCTATCACTCTTAACTTTCTCCTACACCAAAATTTTTAGGTAGACTAACAAATTTAAAGTTGTTCAGTTTCTATGTAAATAAGATTATTATAACCGATGATGCAATGAGACCTTTGTAATCGGCCACGATAGCCAATCATAATTCACACAATTTTTTAAATAGTTTTCTTCTTTTATGAAAAAAAATGCATTTATATTTTCATTTGCGTATATTACAAACAAAACTAATTTCAACTTGTATGGCAAAAGTTAATTAATAAAATTGTAATAAAATGGCACCATTTCTACCTCGACAAGTCTTTCCATCACCAGAATAATTTGGCTTGCATTTACAACTGTAAGTCCCATTTCCATTGTCCATACAAGACGCCAGATATGGATGACAATCGTCAGCCAAGGTAGCACATTTGAATTGAGCTGAAAATAATTTATTTGATTAAAATTCGCATTTTCTTTCCAAGATTCGACTGGCAGATATTACACATGTTAGCACGATCCCTTTTTAGGAGAAACTAAAGACATTATAAACAATAAAGATGACTATCACACTCATTGACTTTGACAATAAAAGGAAAGGGAGGGAAGGAGAGCTTGAGACGGCCTTTCTTCGCAGTAATAACTTGAGTTTACTGGCGCAGTAAAAAATGTTTAATGGTATGTTCAATTTGGCGATGTTTATCTAGAAAATGCACGATTGTCTTTAAAAATTGGGTATACGATTGTTTTGAATGTTTATGGCTACTTTTCACAGCATACACAGTAAGCACTCTTTGTGCTATAAAATACATTCACGAAATTTTCCCAATTTTGTAGATTTAGAGGTAGTTCGTCCACTTTTACCGCTAAAATTTCCTTGAAAGATTTGCTCCTAAATTTGGTTACCGCAAACGTGGTTTTTCCGTAATTCAAATCGGCTTCTACCACATTTAATTTTGGACAAGTTGTTATGCCCCCTTCAAAACTTCATGTAATAACAACATGCACTCAAAGAAATATAACTCGTGATTGAAGCGCGAAGCCTTTCGCAGGAATAAGTTTCCCATAGAGGCATAGACTATAGAAATGATATCTTTATTAAATTAAAAGGACTTACCAACGCACTTCTTTCCGTTACCAACGTATCCATCTTTACAAGTACACTCATAATTAGGGGGAGTGGTGTCTTTACAGACTGCGTGTTCAGGATGACAATCATCTCTCTTTGAGCCACATGTTGAAGGAACTATAAATTACGTTATCACGAAAGTTACAACATACATGTAGCAAAAATATTTCATGTTTGATCGGTAGAAAACAGTGCGAGTCATTTTGTTAATTGTTGGGAAGCAATACAGTGAGCAAAGATAATAATCAAAACAGAGATGGCGAACTTTTCTTAATTTACTTACTCCAAAAGTGTTGGTAGTTGTACATATTTGATTATATTTATTTTAAAGTCATAATCAAGCAAATTTTCAAATTCCTAATCAAAGCAAGCCAGAGGTCCTTTAGTACATACAGAAAAGGAATGCACTGCTGAAATGTTTCTAAGCCTATCAAAGTGCGCAACTTCACCGGAAGAGGCGCTAAAAATACAAGAAACCCAGTCGACCATGCTTCTATGTAAAGAAAAATCAACCAAAACCTCGAACATTATTTAAGATGAGTAAAAGTTGCAAAGATGAAACCTGGGAACATTTTGGTAAAGTTAGAACGAAAATTAAATCGCTATACTGAGGTAACTTGTGAAGGATAATGTCATAATTACCTGGACAGAAGCGGATTAAAAAGTCGTCGACACTTTCAGCTAACTGCTCAAAACTTTCGGTAAGGAGAGCATTAGCTGGTGATCTAACCATGTCTCTAACTTCTTGTTTCGCCTTATCGTCACGCAGACCAACGCCAACCGCGAACACATTCAAATATTTACGGTTATGGAATGGTATCATTGCTTCCTTTACAGGCAAGAAACCTTCATAAGGAAATCAGGAAACAACTAAAGCAACGTAGACTTCTCAAAATGACGTAATGATTACCGGATGAAGAAGTCGGCATTTACAAAAAACTTATACTTAGTTTAAAGAATAAAAATACATGTGCGTTAACGCATGACTTCAAGTGTCTTATATCCCATCAAAAATGTAGCCGTTACCTTTACACTTGTTCTGTTAATGATGAGTAACAAAATTATAAACTCTGAGTGAAACTATAAGTAGCGACAGCAGAAACTTTGTCTACTTTACTTTATGCACATGTGTATATAAACGTATTATTTCTCAGTTGTATTCCAATTAACAGTTTGATTACATTATATGCTAACTTGTGTTTTTCATACAATAATTTGTGTGTTGTGCCTTCCACAAGCATGAAATCATTTCAGGTACGTGTGTTAGGTTGTAAAAGATGTGATCGTGCTTTGTTATACAAAATAAACGGAATTGATACAGGTATAACTAATCCAATTAGGAAAGAAGATGTTTCTTATAAAGAGCTCTAACAAAAAATTGCAGCTACTTGCCAAGACATCATAATCAATGCAGTTATTAAAGTTAAACACGAATCTTTGGAATAGGCACAAAAACACGTTAAAAGTAATTCACAAGTCGATCATAAGCCAAACAAATAACTTAAAGTAATAATAAAGATTAATGGAAAAGATGAATTAAAAGAAATTTTTGGCAGCAATAACGAAGTCCCTCTTTCCTACCTCTTCGCCTTGATTCTATAGTCTGTTTTCCAACAGTTATGACCATGAATACCTTCAGGACACTTGGATCATTTACACGTAAACCAGCTGCTTCAGTAACCACTTTCGTATCAGCCAACTTCAGAGCTTTGTGTGTCTTGGTACGGCCACCAGGATATGGTCCGGGCATTTCTTTAGCAACTTCAACAAATTTTCCAGGTTCTTGACTTTCTTTAAGAGTTATTCGCAATGTACCGTCTTCGCTAAATGTGACAATAGCACCTTGACCAATCACCTTGCCTTCATCATCTCTTTCCCCGATCTTTAATTTTTGGCCAATCTCAACGACAAAATCCCTCATGAGTTCATAATCCTGGAGGCGAATGCTTCCAGAACGATGAAGTACAAGTATCAGATCTGTTTTCGCACATTTTGCTTTGGCAGTTGAAAGAGCTAAAAAAAAACATCAAGTTGTCAATTTCCATATTTCTCTATATTATGATTCCGTTGAAGTTTTCATAAATGCCCACAAAGCATTTCTACTTTTTCCTCTTTCAAAAATATAGCCATAGTCAAGTGATTACATTTACATTTGTTAAATAAATTTAAGGTTTTAGATCACATTCAAATTCAACGATTCAATTGAAACATGAGATCCGTAAATTTTTTTGTTCGCAATTTAGACTTTTTGTTCGGAGTGCACATGATGAAGTGTAAATTTATCTAAGTGCAACTTATAGTTATTTTTAATATCTTTCTCAGAGATGCAAAGGCAAATGTGCCACGACTAATGTGGGATCCACAAAAATGGACGTTTGCTAAAACTTCTTAACAAGTGCATGTACTTTGATACGGCAAAGTATCCAAAAATACATAAGTTCTTCATACAATTATCATAATTTACACCGACATAGACATATTAACATATTCATAACACATTATGCAAGTTGTTTTTAAAAGTTGCCACGAAAATTTTATTTCAGAAACAATTGCTTCTCTAACAGTTGTAACCACAACGAAATCAAGTTTAGGTTTTAGTATTGAATATATTATTTTACCTTGGCAACTTCGTCCACTGCCAGTATAACCTGCATCACAAGAGCACATGTGAACGCCGGGACCCATGTTAATACATGACGCATTTTCACCACAGTTATTGAAATCAGTTTCGCAATTATTAATGGCTGAAACAAAAATTGAATAATTAATCAACAAAAGCTGCTTCAGGTTCATTAGACCTGTCCAGCAAGGTGCGAAGATCATATCTTCATTTAATTTCAAACACCGCACTGCATATAACATTCTTTCAAAAGCTGCCGTAGATAGTCACGCGCTGTATTTTAAAACTTCACTGAATGCTTCATAAAATAGCTAAAATTTTTGTATGTTGCATTCCTATTAACAATTTCATTGCATTATCAAAACCTCTTGCTCTTTTCTCTGTCATTTGATACGAGTCTAACTAGAAATTTAGTCTTTTTGCAAGGACTGAATTTTCCTATAAACATAAATCTTTTACCAACTTACTCCTCACCCGCATTTACACACAGTTTATGAGAAACTCCTGTCAATATATGCTATTGTGCCATGGTATACGTACTGGGAAAACAAAACAGGCTCATTGTTTCACACACATACATCTGTATAGTATCAAATTGGCTGATATTTGAATGACAACAAAAGAGAGTCAAAGTTAGAGCAGGTCGAAAGGCAATATAAAAACAATATTTAAAGGTGTGTAAGTATTTTGGACCAGTCATTAGATATGACACGACTTCTCTTTTCTAAAACACTCAATTATTTGCTCAGTTGACAGCAGCTCTAAATTCTAAACTTTAGAGAAATGCATTTTAGAGACTATGAGTTTGAAGCCAGTCATTTATGATAGCAGAATGACTTTAAATGAAAGCACAACAAGCCAGAGTTTATTCTAAAAACTAGAAGCTCTATTATACAAGCATGCGAATAGATCTCTCACCCAAACAAATCTTTCCATCTCCGGTATAGCCATCGTTACAAGTACATGAATATTCACCAGGTCCCGTGTCTGCACACGTGGCATACCTGTGACAATCATCTTTTGGAGTGCCACAAATCGCTGCCACTAAAACAAAATACAATAATTTACAGAAGATAGAGAAAGGAAAACATGTTTATGTAAAATGATATGCTCACATTTTCGGAACAATGAATGCGCAATAGAAGTCAAATGTATAGCAAATGTGATACTTTTCATGATGCATTAATTATCGATGACTTTAACCTGATATCTGAATCTAAGTCTCCACATTAGTATAGGTAAAATAGAATATCATGCCATTGAATTCTGCAGGGGCGGATCTAGAGTATGTCTAATCCGTCGCGCGACTGATGTTTGAAATTCAAAAATTACCTATTCATATTAATTAAAAAATCATTAATTATTCTTATTTTCTTATCGCATTTACTTCGTGATAAAAATCCCGCATTATTTATTGTTGAAAACTAATGACTAATCCAATGAATATCTCGTTGGTAACCAGATCAGTTGAATTTTAATTGACCTGGAATAACCGACTGATAAGCGGGGTGGCTTGACTAGTTCGACGGATAAAGGAGTCTATGAACGTCAAAAACGCTTATTTTATTGGTCAATAGCCAGATCAATGGACAGTCTGGAATGGTCCCGACTGATAATAAGGGTGGCCGGACGTATAAGGGAGTCCAATTGCTATCTTACGATTAGTTCATTTGAATTTTTGCTTTATTGTGATTGGTTTGACGGATTTCGACTGATAGCCAACTGAACTAACATAGTCAAGCTCACTGTCTGAATTGAATGTTTGATCGTTTTATAGTAATTTTTATAAGCATGATAGAAACTAAACTACAATCAGATGGAATTTATGGAAATCTTTTACAAATTCATATATTGACATGAATGCTGCTGTCCAAAATGTGAATTTTTCAAGAGGGTGAAAATTTATGGATAAATTTTAAATGCTTGGCAAAGACGATCTCGCGAGCGACATTTCAGTCATTGATGTTCAAAAAAGCCAACATTGTTTTGAGTTTTATCAGCAGAAATTTACATCCAAAATCGTAAGTAAAGGACAAGTGAAGTGTATGCATGAATGTAATATATCAAAATCAATTTATGCGAGTGTGTGATGCGATTTATGTCAATATGGCGTATGGTAAGCAGATTGATGCTTCTAAAATTGTTGTTGACGAAGGACTTTTAGCTATGATTTCTTTAGTGCTTGGGGAATCGTGGCCGTTATATGGCAGCGAAATCCTACATTCCTGCAAATATATTTCAATGGACAAAAAATCTGTAGCCATAAGGCGCCATACTATTATTTACTTTATCATAAACAAATGTTTGGGGCTTTTCAGTTTATGATCATTGATCATTCAATCATTGGACAGTTATACTACATATTGTTTAAGATTTGAGAAAACTAACATTGATTACATGAGAAGCTGTTTACTATAACCTGTGATTTTGAGTCTTCTGATCCATGAAGCTTTTTATTTTGACAATTTGACTGGAATGGTATTAAACCTGAGTATTTCACATACATGGAATGTTGTCCCATGTCACATATTGTCCCCTTTTCTAACTGAACACCTCATGTAGAGATGTAAAGGTGTGTTAATCAAAGGCTCATACCAGATTGTTTGCCATAAATTCCAAAGGGCTATTGATGTATGAAAAGCATTTTCTATAAAGTAAAAATGTCTTTCTATGTATGCAGATAAACCTTGAAATTTGGCAAAACAGCAAAGTATTTTCATGATCACTAGGTAATTTTCTGATGATCATTATAATTTCTAAACTAAATTATTTCTGATTTACATTTAAACAAGCTTTGATCATATGAAAAGATATTTATCATAACCAGTAAGCATGACACATGAACCAATTTTAACATTCATGTAATTATATAATTAAAGACATGTTGGTTACATTCTGTTTGTATTTGCAAATACAATGCTACTAGTGATTGCTATATAGCACACCTTGCATATACTTACAGGAGATAATAGTCTAGTGAAATGCCTAATAAACATTTATGGCATTAAGCTGTCCTTAACTGCAAATTTTCACTCTGATAATTTTGCTTAACCTTTGGCAGAAAAAATTTTGAGTTTTTCTCAAAAGGTGAATTTGCTGGCACTGATGTGGAGATGGGTAAAGGGTTACAATAAACTTGCATGGTTTGAAGTCTGAGCTTTTCTATATCTATGAACTGTCACTTGTAGTACCAAATTTCTAACTTAACTACTCATTACATAGAGGTTTGAATGGGGGTCTCTAGGGGGTCTATGCCTGACAACTTGGTAGAAATTTTTAAAGACTATATCTGTTTTTGAATAGCATTATTGTAAAATAAATTTTACGTTCCTAGACATGCTAATAAGCCATATATTTGGCATGATAATGAGCCTAAATATTTGGCAAAACATTCAAGTATTGTTCACTTCATTTTTTTTTTTTTGAAAAAAACGTAAGCAAAATGTGTTGTTTTTACGCAAAAACGATGCCCACAAATACATTTTGTATTGCTCTAAAACGCTGAAAATGGCATTTTCAAGGCTCTGAAATTCAAAATTTCTCAGGGGAGAATGCCTCAGACCCCCCCAGGTGCGGAGCGTCTTCGACGTTTTAAGACTGATGTTTGAAAAATCCTAGATCCGCCCCTGTGCATCAGCACGAACTTTGCAATGTTATTTGGCCCAAAAATGTTTCTCTACTTGAGTCAGTTAATTGAACCTTATATCAAAAGCAGTTCAGCACAACAATCACCATACGCAATCAAATTACGTAAGTTCGACGTAAAGGCATTTCTTTCATTTTTTTCGTATCCTCGATTCTTGCGATATGTAATGACATTTAGTAGCCGTCAACAATCAGTAATTACAAACTTATTCATAAAAAACGCAATATTATCAAAATACTGTATTACTAGCAGCAATTGTTATATAAACACTAGCTCAAATTTCAAAACTGAGCGGAAATTGATCAGGTGATCAATATTGCCCAATCAACGTAAGCTAAACGGATAACAATAGATGTCCCAACCATTGAGCTCTATAATAACTGGAGGGGAAAAGGGGCCTGGGCCTCGTGGTCAAAAACATGGCGGTAATGGCGGATTTTGGTTGTCAAAACCATTGAGTTCTATAATAACTGGAGGGGAAACGTCAACAAAATTAGTATAAATTATTAGCGCGCGGCCGCGTGGTCAAAAACATGGCGGATTTTGGTGGTCAAAGTCAGTGGAGAGACGCGGGCTCATGAAATAAAATTTTTGTCGCCCACCCTGATTTGACCACCACAATTGCGAGTATAGAAAATATCAAAACTACTTATTTTCCTAACATAAACACTTTTTTAAAATTTTATTTATTAAACTGCCAACTTTTGAGGTTTGCGGATGCTGAAATAGCGACAGAAAAGGAATATTTCTTGACTCAGGTAAGTAGCACAGTATTAGTTTTACTATTTTGTTTTTAACACGATACTTGAAGAGTGTTTCTACTACTAAGTTTTAATTTAAAGTTATTTTGGTTCAGTCTTGTTTGTTCTTCACTTAATCGCTCGCCAGACGTGTCGAAGCTGTCAATTTTCATCGAGTTTTGCATCCATCTTGTATCATGATCGAGGCATCAAGCTAAACTCTCCTGATTTGAATTGAATTTAACTCCCAAAAATGGGGCATAATTTGTTCACGTTTTTTTTTGAAACGATGAAGGGAAAGTTTACAACAGAGTCGTGTTGAAATTGAATGCAGTGCCATGCAAAATTAATGAGAACTATGGTATATGTTGTATAATAAAAATAACTATTAAACTGTTGGCCTGCTCAATTTGACTGACTGTATGGTGTAGACAAGTATAATGAGATTGGAAAGTTGGATTTATGCTAACAATTTTAAAGTACTACTTAGCGTTTCTGTAAATGAAGTATTTATTGTTATAGTAAACAGGTTAATACTTCAAAACCAAGATGAAAGTAGTGTGTTGAACAATGTGCTAAGATTTGTTTCTACCTTGAAATTTTTTTTCAACAGTAGCTTATGATTATATCATTAATATGCATGAAAAATTAAACATATCATTGTCTCATCTCATTAAATCCATACTTGGTATGATTCCAGGTGATCCACAAATTCACATCGGATTCATTGGTTACAATGAAGTTGAATGTAGAGGAAGCAAAAATAGATTGTAAAGAAATTCTTTGTGTCTTATGAAGAATTAGTAGAAATCAATAAAAAGAATTCTTTAAACAAATTGTAAACAAATTTAAATTTGCTCATGGTCAAGCAACCTAGTCAAAGAAGCAAAGTCTGTCTTCAACATGTGACCTTTCCAATTATTTAGTTTCTTTGTACAAAATACTATTTTCGAGAAACTTGATTTGTAAGTCTTTCATTAATATTTTTTTACCAAGAGATAAAAGAAACAAATTCAAAGGCTTGATGTAAAATACAAAGATTTAACAAGTTGTTTATCATTTAATTCCCAAATGTCAGTTTGTACATATAAATAATTAGTATTGGTAGCTGTAAGTTGTTTAAGCAGAACAGAAGAGTAGTAGTGCACGAAAGGGTTAGTATTTTTGAAAAATTATATCTTGTTCTTGACATATATTACACAATTCCAAAAAACTGTAAGTAATGCACAATAATATCTATAGAACTTGATAAATTTCTTCGCCTACCTTGTCAATTAGCTTTTTTGCCTTCATGCAGCAATAGACAGTGTTTTGGTCAGAGAAACCAATGCACTTTAGTTTCCAAGTTTGTAATTTCAATGGAAAATTAATGTTGTTCTGTTCAGTAACAGATCCAAGATTCTGCCAAGCTGTTTACAAAATACAAATTACCAAGCAACAGTGTCATGGTGTTTTGAATTTTTTTCTTTTTTGTAGCTCTTCTAGTTCAACACACTCTCTTTATGAGTTTTCAGTAGATTTATCAGGTAATGACAATACACTTATGATACTTATTTAAAGTGGAAGTTTTGACCACCAAAATCCGCCATTACCGCCATGTTTTTGACCACGAGGCCCAGGCCCCTTTGCCCCTCCAGGTCTTATAGAGCTCAATGGTC